TTTTTGGGGGGATGATTGGTGTTGTCACGTAGATGTGCAGTAAGGTTTCGGAATTTTGATTTTGCCCCAAGGGGTCAAATGGAGGTCGAAAAATAACGTTTTTTATGCAAAAAGCCCCGTCTTCCCTGAACTCCTTCTACATTTTACACAGTAGCCTAATCATCTTTTGGGAGATGGTTGGTGGTGTCAGGTAGATGTGCAGTAAGGTTTCTGAATTAGATTTTGCACCGGGGGGTCAAATTGGGGTCGAAAAATAACGTTTTTTTATACAAAAAGCCCCGTTTTCCCTGAACTCCTCTTACAATTTACTCAGCAGCCTATTCATCTTTTGGGAGATGGTTGGTGGGGTCATGTAGATGTGCAGTAAGGTTTCGGAATTTTGATTTTGCCCCAGGGTGTCAAATGGGGGTCAAAAAATGACGTTATTTTATGCAAAAAGCCCCGTCTTCCCTGAACGTCTCCTACATTTTACACAGTAGCCTAATCATCTGTTGGGAGATGGTTGGTGGTGTCAGGTAGATGTGCAGTAAGGTTTTGGAATTAAGATTTTGCCCTGGGGGGTCAAATGTGGGTCAAAAAATGACGTTTTTTGTGCAAAAAGCCCTGTCTTCCCTGAAGTCTTCCTTAATGTTACTCAGAAGCCTTCTCATCTTTTAGGAGAGTTAAATATTTTGAAAATTATGTAAAACATCAACGTCAAGGGGTAAAAAAGCATCACATGCTGGGAAACACCTTGAATTCTTATGAGTAATTAATGTACATATCAAATGTGAGAGTCATATCTCATCTCAATCAAAAGTTATAAGCAAATGCAACAATTTTGAAAAGTAGAGGCTTGACCGCATCAAGGTCAAGGTCACAGAGTAAAAGTCATGATTTATTTGGAAAGGTCTTATCACAGGTAATAATATACATGCATTATGATATGAATGCCCTTACTTTTCTCTTTCAAAATGATGAATTTATAACAATTTAATTTTTTTGCAAGTAGGTCAAACTTCTAGGTCACAGGTAAAAAAAAACCCATGCCATTCTCACAGGTAAATACTAATACATAAGTTTAATATTCAGTAGATATGACCGTGATGATCAAGGTTAAATTTATTGAGACAGATGGACAGTCTGACATACAAATGTACATATTTCTATATGAATTGGGTAAAATTGGCCCAGTGGTTCTAGAGACGTTAAAAATGTAAAAAGTTTTCAGACAAACAGATGGACGACACGTCACAACAGACGTTATATTGCTAAGGAAACCAGAAAAGCTCAAATGAGTGTTTTGAAAGGGTTAGAATATGGTTGCAGTATTTGAAAAGCTGTTTTTTTTCATGCAGAGATATGCATGACCAACATATTCATGTTTTATATTTTCTTTAGTAATTTGTTTGTTTGTTGTGAATACATCTCTCTTGGGAATTTTTCCCTCATATGGAGACACCACCAAATAATGCTGAAGACAAGATGTGTTTGTGAAACACTGATGTCCCTGTATGGAAGCCTATGGTGAAGGTTGAAGCTTCTCAAATATATGTCAAACTCAAAGGTCAAGGTCAAAGGGTTCAAATTGTTAGTATCAGAAGGAATGCACATGTGAAATAAAGAAATCCCTAGTAATTCCTGTTCAAAAGTTAATTGCCAAGGTTAATTTTTTTTAAGTGGTTCAAACTCTAGGGTCAAGGTCAAACATATTTATACCTGTTGACAGTTCACAATGAATACACATGTTAAGCATGAAAGCCCTAGCACCTACTGATCAAAATTTAGGCCAAGTTTAAAGTTTGGTATTTTTCTTGTAAAAATTTGTATCCTAGGTCAAGCGATTTCAGGTAAAAATTAATGGTACCCAAATAAAAGGTCTTAATTGTCACAAGAAATGAACCTATAAAATGTGGAAGCCATTTGTATAGCCCATCCCACTTAAAACTTATGGGCAAGGTTATAATTTCTGCAGACAAATAGACAGACATAATATAAACACAAGAAACAAAATATGTATAACTAGTCAAATGGAAAAAAAATATACTATTTAATTGGAATCACAAAATAGATTGTTATTTCAGGGACAGGGAGTGGGTAGGGAAATTGGAATCCCCCCATCCCCCCTGGAATTAGCTTTGTTATTTAAACAAGACTATATACTGAAGCAAATAAAAAATGACTTTGGACATCCTCCCCCTAACTGAGAAAACATTGACCACACTATCATTGTTTTTATTTTATTTGTTTTCAGTTTTTTTTCTCCTGCTTGTCAGGAAATTCTGGGCTGGAAATGTTTTGACTGAGATGTGAACCCCCCTCCCTACTCCCGAAAAAAATTCTGGATCCGCACCAGTATTGGCAGTAACTGAATGTCACATCGACAATGGCAGATAACTTCACAATATGAAATTCGTCTAGTGTAGCATGCGATAATCTTTGACCCTTTTTGAACTTTAACCTAATCGTTTGGGTTTATTTTACCCCCCACTATACTTAAACTTGTACTTACCGACTGCCATATGTCTTGTCAACTTCACGAAATATAAATCCAATTATAACACAAAATGAATTAATCCAATGCACACCAGACTGCAGCCATGTGCTAATTCCATTCGACAAACCTTCGTCGATTCCGTCACCTTATCAGATGAAGTGGGAATCGGCCGAGGTGTGCCAAATGGTGTTTAATCTAAAAATATGATAATGGGTGACGCAACGTGATGTGATGTAGAAATTTACATGTTAACATGTATAGTACAAGAACAAATTTTAAATTAATTCATAACAAACGATGTTTTAACAAAACTTTTCCATCTAGCCTATTCCAAACAGTATGTGCTGTGTGATTGTGGTGTCGAGGGGGGATTAATAAATTTAAAAAGGTCCTATTATGAGCAAAACATTTATCAAAATCTAATTTACATCATTAATAGAATTCAAACTGGTATATAATGAATTAAGCATGTAAAATAAATATAAGAGGTTCTGAGTTATAGGTCACAGGGTCTGAGAATTTCATACTCAGTTTGATGAATACATGTAAATCATTGGTGTCGGAAGCAAATTCAAAGTGGGGGGGCTAGGTGTAAAAAATTTTTTTATACCTTCTCAAAAACCTGACAAGCAAAAAAAAAAAAAAAAAAAAAAAAACCGAAAATATCAATTTCCCAAACACGAAAATCCTATTTCGGGGGGGGGGGGGGGGATGTGAATTCGAACTTCAGTACCAAAAAATTTTTTTCTATACACTACCTTTTTCCCATTTTTTACCATACTTAAGACCTATACTGCCATGTGTCTGTGGAAAGTGGGGCGGGGTGGGGGTGGGGGCTAAACCTATGAATCAATGTTCAATATCTATACTAAGTATATGTTTGGAAACCCCCCCTAGCCCCCCCCCCCCCCCCCCCCCCCCGGTTCCGACGCCTATGTAAATTATAGAATTATTTTGACTTTTTCCTTGGAAAGCCGCCCTATATTTAGGGGCGTGTATTTAGAGGCAAACACCTTAGTGCGGGTATTACTGACTCATGACAGCATCTAGTTTTATGTTGCAGCGGAAATCTCAAAGACAGTTTTTCTTCATTTCAACATGGATACAGATTACTTAATAGAGTAATTGAATCTTACACAAAATACAGTATTTTAGACTGTATTGGAGAATGTCTAAGGACTTCAAGGTGTAGATCGGTGAATTATTTTAAAGGAGCACATTTTTGTGAAATTAACTTTCAAATTCACACTACTGAGCCAGAAATGTACAGACAAAGCCCGGGCTGGATATACACAGCGATAGAGAGATGGAATAAGGTAAATCTATATTCCTTAACGTTAAAGTTTGACGACTTCAGAATTTTCTTATTAAAGGTACAAGCAAATAAATGCTAATCGAGATAATGTTTTTGTTATTAACATGTATATGTTTCCTTATTGTTGACCGTCCCTTATTATTATGATTTGTTTTTCTTCTTAAATACACCTATTTCCCTATTTTAATATGTTTTTATTTGTGTGTGTGGGGGGGGGGGCTTAAATGTATTTCAAATTTATTTTAAAATTTTAATATTATAATTAATTTTTCTCTTTGTTGAAATAATTCAGTTCAATTGTAATGAATTTCTAGGATCTCGTACGTTCTTGCTCGTCATCGTCCGGCGCACTCAACGAAAAATGCATCCTTCAACCTTTTGGTGAATTCCGGTGCGTTTTCTCAGGTAAAATCTCGATTATGAATCTTACTTTTTTATCTTGATCGCACTGGAATGACATAGTCAAGGCCATAATACATGTACATCCTCTAGATTTGCTCATAAACAATCTCGACACTAATTGGAAATTATATTATGTTATTAATTTTTCCAATCATTTCAACAGCTTTTTCTCCAATAAACTGAACGCAAAACTAACCAATTTAACACTTTTATCAACGATATACCTATTTAAGAATATTAAATTGACAGAAAATGCCTGTTTAAAGCTGTAATCTTTGTTTATCATTAGAAAAATGTCAAGAAATTGGCCAATTTTTTTTATTAGATTGCAAAAAACATCAACTCTCATGAAGTAACAGTCAGTGAGTGAAAAAAGACAAAAACATTGAAAATGTCTCCAATATCAACTTTCGTACAGTAAAGATAAATCAAGATAATGGTAACCTTTTATCGAATACAAACTTAAATGGTTATTTCTTCTTTTCGTTCAAAATCAGCCCCATTAGGGGGTTACCATGGGTATGTATACATGTATAACTTCCAAGCTAGTGTGATAAATAATTCATTTTTAAATTCGTTCAAAGTGAAACAAATCGAAGTAACCGTGCTTTAAAGTGAGCATAAATCTTTAATAAAAGGCATCAGTTTTAACAGTTTGAAGTATTTTCTTTAAAATGCTGACTTCTTTTTCGTCGATTAGATGATGAATAATGAACCTTTCGAAATAAACAACATGAAAGGGTATTATCAAGCCGTAAGCACATTCTTTGTGGAAATCGTTTTTTTTTTAATTTTATCATTAAGAGCATGGAAGAAAATACCTTGCACAAGAGGAACATGGCCAATGACGATCACCTGAGTAACTTAAGCTCTCCTTTCTTTACCAAATCTTCCCATTGTAATACCAGATATGTATGATAATTGGCTTGTAGGATATTTAGCGGAAATGGATTTTCAAAGAAGTTCGCGAAAACTAGATTAAGCGCTATCTGAATGTGCTAGCAATAACATTTTATATACAAGGCATTTTACGGTAAACTTGCTTTAGCGGACTTTTCTTTCCACCAAAATCGCTAAATAGAATACATCCCTTAAGGATGACGTTTACTCAGGTTTCAGAAATCAGAAAGGAAATTTTATGAAGTATAATATGTTAAATCAAAAATTGTTCTAAATGGATAAAATAACCAAATTTATCTCAATATCGATTTAAAAATTCAATATTTTATTATTTGAAGAAAATATACAGGAAAAAAGTCAATGTATGGTAATGCAGAGGAAATTTGGACTAAATTTTATTTTTTTCATTTTTGTCAAAAAATTTTTTTCTTGCAATATTAATCACGAAGTAAAGGTTGCATGTCTTTTTAGACATCATTTTGCAAATATTGTATGTGTTAAAGCTCAGAAATCATTTCAAATAATTAAATGCTATGAAATAAAGAAATTTAAAAATATGTACAAAAACCATTCCAGACAACATATCCCAATAATTTGATCATTGACCCCATATAATATTAATACCATGAAAATTAGGGCAACAAAAGTAACCTGAAGCTATAAATAATTTAGAGTTCTTATCAGTCAGATTTTTGTAATATTTGATCAAAAATGGGAAAAAAATATAAATATAAAAGAGGAAATTCAGACTGTAATAATTTTTCACGTTTATGGCCCAACCTCTAATCATTTCTTTATATGAAACAAGACTGTTCTATTGCTGATATTTCGTTATTTAAAGAGTTTTATGCTTGTAATATTTTGTGAGTGAAGGAAAAATTGGTCATAGTGTGAAAAATTGAGGTATTTCCCGAGAAATACTCAGGGGCCACTAGCATGAAAAGTAGGTCATTGACCTAGTTATTCGAAAATGAAAATTAACACAAGAATCACAGGTGTACAATGTGCAATAGGTGGTTTTTTCGTTCTTATCAGTAGTATTTTTAGTCGCCTGAGTAAAGGTATACCTTAATGTAATACGTTTACAGTACCTACCACACCCTGGGGGGTCAAAATTAGAATTTAGAAAATACTATTTTCATGGGGTCAAATTTTCGTGGTTTGAAGAGAAATTCTTGGTTCGCGGGGATTTAATTTCGTGGATGTAGAATTGTTTAGTAGTTATGTATGTCACATTTTACATTTCTTGGTGGACATGAATTTGTGGTTCTCTTCACATCTCCAAAACAACGAAATTAAACCCCACGAAAATTTGTGATTCAACAGTACTCTTTCACAGAATGATTCCACACACATTTCAGTCACACAAAAATGTTTAAAAGAATTATACAATATGTTATTATCACACCTTCAGGTCTAGTTTGTCATTTTATTCTCTTTACAGACTGTGGGATTCTGAACGTCCAGAATACGTCGTGGAATGTCCAGGATTGGGATGGAATAGGAATCTATCAACAATTCCACATTAAATGCTCTGAATCCCAGCTTCAGCGAGGTTCCGGAAGGTTTTTGTGTCTTGAGAATGGGACGTGGAAATCGGACCTTATTTGTATAGGTTTTAAGTATACATGTATCATATTATTATTATTAATATTTATCATTGGGTTCACGATCAGGCTCTTGCTGCACTTAATTAATGTTCCAAACGAGGTTATTTTAAAAAGTATTAATTTACTGTTATGAGTAAAGTCTCTCATTTTTATCTAAATTTCCTTAATGTACTTGATTTTTGTCTGACGTTTTGATGCATCACTTGCTGCACACACTATTTCTTTCGTTAAGGTATATCAACTATACATTCACCTTTTAGTGACTTTTTGATAAAATGAATGACTCATAGTGGAAGAGAATTCCATTGAGCTTCATTTAAAACATTTAAAACATAAATTCGCCAGGCAATTAGATTTATGCAAAAACATAAAATATGAAAACATTAAAATTTCTTATGTACATGTGTGTATCATTTTGGCTCCTTGTATATATTATGTTTTTTCATATAAATTTATTAACCGTAGGTGAAAAATGGTCTGCATATAACTGTCAAAAAATAAGTTTAAGTAATGCCACAAAATAAAACATATCGTTCCAGAAATTTAAAGAAACGTTTGTATCATATTACCGAAATGACTTTGTTCTGTTTCAGATCTACCTAGAGATTGTAAAAACCTCCATGAGTATGGTGAGAATAATTCAGGTGTGTACCAGATTTTCCCTTATGGATACCGAGCCCGACCTGCCAGAGTTTTCTGCGATATGTACACAATGGGAGGCGGGTGGACGGTATTTTTCTTTTGTGACATGCATTTATTTTTTTTCTGTTTCATTCAGGAGGTTATTAAATGAAAAATATACAATCTGCAAATCCTTTTCAAAAAGTATTGAATAATGTACGAGGGCCGTTCAAAAATTACGCGGATTTTTTGCACAGAAAAAATATTTGTCGACATAATCGGGCAAAATGTCACATATAATATAAAAGAATCTTTACTTATATGGTCTTCAAAATTTCATCTCAAAATGTTGTAAATTGGTATCAATTTTGAGTGATTTTTCAGGACATATCATTAAGTCACGGAGCAGCAAAATCTTCGACGTCACAGGCGATAAATATGTGATTTATCTCTCATTTCTCAACATTTTCCCAAGAGTAACTGTACGGTTTGAGTTACATTATCTACTCAACATCCAAACATCATTTCTTGTTAAGCTTAATATCTATTAAACAAGTAAAGAATATTCATTCTTTTTTTTAAACCAAAAACTTCAGGTATTTATGAGATATATCATGTGATATTAGTGACTCTCAATCACGTTCTTTACAGTCCAGATAAGGTTTTTGTCGAAAATCGTCTTCCCGTCCTCCGTTATAGCCTTTTTACAGAGGTCTTACATTCTAAAATTTCAATTTGCTATTTGTGGACGAATGCCACAATGCCCTAGTTTACTACTTGTTTTATTATGCATATTTTGGACTATGTTGGCAATATTCTGAGCATTACACATAATTTAACAAAATGTGGTGCGCCGTCAATTCAGGAGACGTCATTTTCACAGTCGTTTTCACGGGAATCGCATCAGAGAAAAACCACTATATTTCTGTGAATACTTCAAATATCACGTCAGAAATCTAAATACATAATAGGAGAACAATTTAAAGAAACATTTGAGAAAATTGTCGAAAAATATCGCGAGTTATAGAAAATAAATGAGTTAAATTTTGGATTCCGCATGGTTTTGCCCTAAAATTTTTGTCGTGCTCCGTACTTCTCCATCAGCGATATCAACATTCCGATAATTTTAATAGAATTTTTTTAAAATACTGAAATTTTGCCCAAAATTTATTGGAATCTTTAAGAAATATATTTCTGTGAAATATTATAACTATATGACGTCTCTAAGAGCAAATAATAGCACAGTCCGCGTAATTTTTGAACGGTCCTCGTATTATATTTGGAAGGCAATCTAAACACGTGTAGCTGGATCTGTGAGCTTTGATAGAACATGGGACGAATATAGAAAGGGATTCGGTGACGCGGGACAGGACTTCTGGATCGGTAATAATTAACACATTTTTGATCTAATTCCTTCTTATGATCATTGAAAAATCAAGTCCGCTATTTTTTAATTGTATACTATACGCAGTTTTAATTCGAATGCATACATGTTATTGGGTTCAAGGGGCGAGGGGAAAATAAGATAAGATTTCAAAACGAAGTCGATCGTCTATGATTGAATCAATTCACCTTTTTGTCTGACACTTCAAGTTTAAAAAATATAATATGTAATATTATGCTTTAAAGATGAAATACCGACATCATTAATCAGTACATGTACAACTAAGCCCCTCCAAACAAATCATTTATATTCATCTAAGGGGGCCGACTGTTTTTTTCATTGCGCAATATTTTGCGCGTTATAGTAAAATGAAGCGTATTTACTGTTTTAAAGCAACTTTTTTCACAAAATTAGGAAATTACAGGTTTAAAAGTATAATTACAATTTTATGTACAGTGTAACTGATTTTTTCTTTTACCGATTTTGCATTTGATAGGAAGGTTGACGTCTTTATAATGTGTTTTTGACGTTATGATAAACTGAAGCTCTTAAAGAAAGGGGCAATAAAAATGTTTTTAAATAAAAAGTAATAAACATACGCTCTTGAAATTTAAAACATAGGTATTGGAGAATCTCTCTATTATTCTTATCATTTTTAGGTCAGGTGACCAATTGCTATCTGTTTTCGTCCGTCGTCGTGCGTTTTGCGTTAACGTTTGAACATTTTCAGCTTCTTCTCTGCAACCACTGAACCAATTTCAACCAAATTTGGCACAAAGCATCTATGGGTGAAGGGAAACAAAAATTGTGAATTTCATGATCCCTGCCCCTCTGGGGCCTGAGGGGTGGGGCCAAAACCACTAAAATTAATGCAGTCTTTAAAAATCTTCTTTACTCCTGAACATCAAGCAGTTAAACTGTTGGCATGATTGTAATCAGAATTGAGTCCTCTATAAAAATTGTGAAATTCATGGCCCTAGGGTCAGGGGTTTTAGTGCTAGGGCGGGGCTAAATAAGTATATAGTGAAAATGCATTATTCTTTGAAAATCTTCTCTGCTCCTGGGTATTAAATAAACTAACTAGGTACATAGTTATGATGAGCAAGAGTGCCTCTACCAAAATTGTGAATTTTATGACCCCAGGGTCAGGGATTCTGGTGTTAGGGCGGGGCTCTATTGATTATATAGTGAAAATACATGAATTCTTCGAAAATCTTCTTCTCTGCTTCTGGGTATTAAATAAACTAACTAAGTGCATAGTCATCATGGGTTAGAGTGCCTCTACCAAAATTGTGAATTTTATTACCCCCAGGGTCAGGGGTTCTGGTGTTAGGGCGAGGCTCTATTGATTTTATAGTGAAAATACATGAATTCTTTGAAAATCTTCTTCTCTGCTCCTGGGTATTAAATAAACTAACCAAGTGCATAGTAATGATGACCAAGAGTGCCTCTACCAGAATTGTGAATTTTATGGCCCCAGGGTCAGGGGTTCCGGTTTTAGGGTGGGGCTCTATTGATTATATGGTGAAAATACATTAATTCTTTGAAAATTTCTTCTCTGCTCCTAGGTATTAAGCAGATGAACTAGCTATTTAGTTATGATGAGCAAGGACCCTAATATTCCATAATTTTGAATTTTAAGGCCCCAGGGTCAGGGGTACCATGGAGGGGGGGGCTGTACTTATATACAATGTACTGAAAATGAATGAGTTGTTTGAAATCTGCTCCTTGGTATTAATCTGACAAATATTTTTGAAAAACAAGGATGCCTTTTCAAAAATTGTGCAATTTGTGGATCTAGGCCTACTGGTCAGGGGTTCATTATGGTAGGGGCAGTACTGATTATTGCTGAATATTACTAATTAGTTGAAATGCATTTTTGTTCCCATACCCTACCTATGGGTATTAAGTAACAAAACTAAGCAACTGCTAAGTGTATAGTTATGATGATCAATCGTGCTTCCTTCAAAATTGTGAATGCCATAGCATCTGGCTTAAAACATGAATCAATAACTGGAAAGTTGTTGCAAAATGCTCAGGTGACCTATAAGGCCCAGGGGCCTCTTGTTTCATATAATACCTTTGTTCCCATCATATCTTGTAGTACCTATAAAAACAGCTAAATTCGTAAATTTTTAGATGCTCCTTCTGGTAACAAGACAGTAGAATTTTGTGTCTATTGTAGTATTTTTAAAATTTGCTTTAAAGTGCTGAAAATGGGCATTTTCCTATATAATTCTAAAGTTATTGTACCTATGTTTTGAGACGGTCCCTTAAAAATACATGGACGGTAGATTTCGCCCAAACCTTGCATGAAAACTTAAGTTAATATAAGTTATATATGGTATAAAAATGAAGAGTTTCGCTTTTGTAGTTTTCACACAATAAAACCCCAGTCGGCCCCTTTAAATTGGAAATGAAGTACATTGATTAAAGTTGAAATGTTCTGTTACATAGGAAAAGACGTAATCCACCAGTTAACAAAGGGAAAGATCTCTAATCTCTACATTTCCATTACTCTGGTTGACGGTAGAAAACTATACGAGTTGTACGAACAGTTCTCGGTTTCAAATGAAGCAGATAACTATCAACTCTTTCTTGCGGGGACAGCCTCCGGAACCCTAGGTACTTGAATAGAAAGTCTTCACATTATGAATCAAAGAGAGAATTGGTTGTAAAATTAGACTAATAAAAATGCTTAATTATCTTCATATTATAAAGCAAGAGGGTAGAGAGGTAGTATAGAATTTAACTTCGCTTATACTTAGAGGAAACATGAAACATGACACATGGTCATATTATTATGGCGGAAAGAACTTTAAAAAAAAAATCCAGAAGATATCAATATATTTATAAGCAGTATAAGAGGAATGAAAAAAATCCTGTCCTGGAATAAAAAGGAAAGGTTGAGTCGGGACAATTTTAGTTATTTTTTTGGAAGAGGGCAACAATTATAAAAAAGATGGCCTGAAGTAGTATTGTAATATAATTTTCTAGGTGACAGTATGATGCACACAGACACTTCTTCCGGGGATCTGTCTGGAATGAAATTCACGACATCTGACAGAGATAACGATATGTCGACCAGGAACTGTGCTACTTATTTTAAAGGAGGCTGGTGGTTCAACAACTGTTACCGCGCCTTTCTTAATGGTGCCTGGACCCCGGATAGTTGGATAAATCCTTGGTATCCCATGGTTAGATCAGGGGAATCTATTAAGGAGACTGTAATGATGATCAAAAGTTTATAGGATCACACTGATCAAATACTCACATTTGTTGTGATTCTACTTCCATCATTACATGTAACATGAACTTAAGTTGAAAACCATTTTGTAGTACATGTATACACACGTTGTTGTATACGCTTCGCTTTGATCATAACAATTCATTGCAGCTATGGACATAATAAAAATATACATTAGAGGGCTGCAAAAATTTTAACATTGAATATTTCATGTGAATTGTATGTGCAAGAGGTTTTTGAACCTAAAATGTGATTTATTGTTGTGTAATTTACACAGAGTTTAAAGTTTGAAACTTTAACAGACATTAATTGTCTAATTTTGTTACATAAACCAGCATCAGCATAAGCATTAGTGTCATCAGGATAGAGCAAGCATCAGCATCAACATTTAGAAAAACAGCATAACGATAAATACACAGAATAAACAAGTTGCAAGTCTTTCTGACCAATCAGATAACAGCATTTATACAAACCCAAAAGGAAATAAATAAAACACGTGGTTTTATCGTATTTCGCTCAAAAGATTTTTTTTTTGAACAATTTTTTTTGTAAATTTTATAAATATATAGGAATTATATTATATTTATGGTAGCAATCCCATAAGTTTAACTTGCTTTAAAAAAAATGATATAAGTACAGAAAAGTTTCAGTTTTAGAGCCTGACATAAAATATTATCGAATGGATAACAATCTTTATTACTTTTTGAATGTTTATGACAAAACCGCCCATGCAGTTTTTGGTATATGCGAGGTAAGATATTGGGATAAAACGCATTGAAGTGTATAATTATTCTCTTTTCTCTACGTTTTATGCCTTTCCTTTTGCCCATTGAAAGTCGAAAGTTTGCATAGCTTAATATTTGGCGCTCATGAAATCCGTGCCGATTTTTTAAATATATACGCAGTCCATACGATAAACACTTGTACGTGTGAGGTGGATCTACGAGGGTCATTCAAAATATATGTAGACAATGTTTCTCATCGTTATATTATTATTACAAGGTAATAGATCAACACATTTTCGTAAATTAAAACATTTATTTTGTCGAAGTGTGAAGTTTCATTCAATTTTATTAAATTGAATTCATGCTAGCCAATTTTTAAAGCAACATGTTTTGTTACCACGGAGCACGGTTACTAAACCAACATTCTAACGTCAAAAGCAACGTTGAGAAAGTTTCTAAAAATAACTCTGGTTTTTAATTTCATACATAGTTTGTAGCGTCTGTTCCATTCATAAAAACGTACCCATAACACTTAACACCTAGTTTGCTAACAATTGTGCAAATAGCTTGAACTAGAGTGTCATTGTTTTCAAATTCCTTAAGCCTACCGCGGAACTCGATTAAATCCGCAATCGTGAAGCGCACATCACGTTTAATGACGTTCCTAACCCTATTGACAAGATTTTTAACTCTAACCTGTTTCTTCGCAGACCATAAATTGGCTGATTGAAACTCGCTACGACTCAAAAATTGTATTTTTCATTTTTTACAAATACACGTTTTTTTTTCCACACATTTCATGGTTTATACAGATTTTTTAAAGTTTGTTAATGATGTTTCCCGAATGTAAAGCAAAATTTTATTGCTTCTCGCTGCTCCGTGACGTCCTCTAACGTCATTGTTTTTTGCCAATTTTAATCAAGTCTGTATGTCTTTAGAGACTGATATCTTTTAAATGGAACAATATATTACACTACCTGATATCATTTTAAGTGATACAACAGGACCGAATTTAAACATGTAAATTTTATTTTGTTTCAACTCCATTTATTTGAGTTCCGGCTATCGATACTATGAAGTAAGAATTAGCAAATTACTCAATTTTGACGTTGCTCCGTGACCCCATTTTTGCCGTTCTAAATCCTTAATAATTTGTATAAATATGAAGATATATTCCATTTATTAATTCAAATTAATTGAATTTGTTGTTAAAATATGTGTACAAAATTTGGATAAAATATGACGTTAAATAAAAAAGTTAGGACTAAAGTCTACGAACTTTTTGAATGACACTCGTATACACATGGAATTTAAGCTTCATTGATGAAAATCGGATGGCTAAGTAAAATTATATTTTACAAACTTATAGTATATTCTGGTAAAAGTTATAATTAAACTTGATAAGAACTGGCTGGTGTGATTTATTCCTCCGTAAACGATTACATTGTATACTGTATATTTTGTTTTTCCTTACCGAGATAAAAATCTCAAGGTTGTTAATGGTAAATATGTGGGAAAACCTTATTCTTCATATGTTTTCATCTTACTTCTAAAGATTTTTTGTAAAAAAAATCTTTTTGAGAAAAAAAACAACAACAAAAAACACGTCTTTTCTATGGAATCCGGATAGGGCCACGCAGTTCACTATCGCATCATCGCACCATCGAGGTTTGAGTCGATGGAGCGATGACGCGATAATGCGATGACGATGGAGCGATGAAGCGATAACGATGAAGCGATGGTGCGATAACGCGATGACGATGACGCGATGGCGCGATACTGCGATGACGATGAAGCGATGGTGCGATAAACCGATGACGCGATGGCACGATAGCGATGCTGCGATGGTGCGATTGCGATGGCGCGACAATGATGATGCGATGCTATATCGTGCCATCGTTATTGCTTTATCGCGCTATCGACATCGTGTCATCGCACCATCGCTCTATCGACTATATAGATAGGATGGCATATTCAGCAGGTACTTAATTCGAGCAAAGACTTGATTGCCCAGTGATAATTAACTGACTTTAATTTTGTATTTGGTAATCATATTTTAAATAACAAACACGAAGTACCAAGAGGAGAGAGGAAGGAAGACTTTTGTTTTGTATTTATTTTGTATTTTAGTATTGTATACTAGTGTCTAGGTCCCTGATTTCACGATGCAAGAAATAAATTTAAATTTCGTAAAAGTATTTACTTGTTTTAATAGTTAATGATAGCATTCACGATGGGTTTAATTTTGCGGAAAAAAATGACTCGTGAACATAGTGAAAGTAAAAACATCGTAATTATTTCCCACGCAATCTACAGTATTAATCCCCCCCCCCCTCCGTTAAGAAACCAAAATATAGATCACGCGGATTTCGATTTCTTTTACATCATTCACAACATGAGTGTATTGTTAACTTTATCTTGATTACAAACTATATTTTAACAATCCTCTAACTTGTTATATGTCTGGCAATAAAGACATGGTTAATATTTTTATGCCAAGTAAAGTTATTTCACCAAGTAAGATCTATTTCCGATATGTATTCTGTTCATACTTTCACAACCTGACGCCATTTTTCTTCTCAATGGCGCATGCGCAAAAGAGTCGATAGCACGATAGTGCGACAAAACGATGACAATAGTGCGATAGAGCACTGATGATGACACGATAGAGCGTCGCTTCATCGTTATCGCGTTATCGTATCATCGCTATCGCACCATCGCGGCATCGCTATTGTGCATTCGCGTCATCGCATTATCGCTCCATCGCACCATCGCTTCATGGTCATCGCAGTATCGCACCATCGCGTCATCGTCATCGCGTTATCGCACCATCGCTTCATCGTTATCGCGTCATCGCTCCATCGTCATCGCACTATCGCGTCATCGCTCCATCGACTCAAACCTCGATGGTGCGATGATGCGATAGTGAACTGCGTGGCCCTATCCGGATTCCATACTTTTCTTTTTGTTCTTTTAAAATATGTTTTGGGGTGTGTAAAATGCTGTTGTCTAAAGGGACAGAAAAATAAATACGTGTACATGATATATATTTATAGCAACTTTCAGTTATCGTTCTTGACTTCCATATTTGGAAATCGTCCAGACCTGATAAATAATATAATTATTTGAACAACAGTGTTCAAGCAAGCGGGACACCTTTCTGTATTAAAATTTCTTTTGAAGACTGGTTTTACGTACAATGAAAAGTCAATGATATACAAAACATGTTTTAATTTAATGTAATGTCTTCTTCTCATCTCGCAGCAGAATTGGAAAGGATAAGGTAACGCGCTTGTCATTGTGTGTGTGTTAGTTTATCCTTGTGCTTATGTCCCCCATCGTTTCACTCCTCCGAACATTAAATATTTCTGTTCTAAGTATCTTAGTCAATAAACGACAGAACACCGATATAGAAACTTTTTGGCCCCGCCCTACCCCCGAGGGTCATGATCTGAACAAACTTGAATCTACACTACTTGAGAATGCTTCTACATAAATATGATAAATTATGGCTTTGCTAATCTTGAGAAGAAGAATTTTGAAGAAATTTCTTATATTTCTATTTAAAACTTTGGTCGGCCATTTTGGCCCCGCCCTACCCCCCGGGTCATGATTTGAACAAATTTGAATCTACTCTACCCCAGGATGCTTCCACATAAGTTTCAGCTTTCCTGGCACAGTGGTTCCTGACAAAAAAGATTTTAAAACATGCCACCAAATTTTCATTAATTCCCAACTATCTCCCCTTGAATGAGGGCGTGGCCCTTTTTTTGAACAAACTTGAATCCCCTCCACCCAAGAATGCTTTGTGACAAGTTTGGTTGAAATTGGCCCAGCGGTTCTTGAGAAGAAGTCGAAAATATGAAACGTTTACAGACAGACAGACAGACGGACGCCGGACAAAATGTGATCAGAAAAGCTCACTTGAGCCTTCGGCTCAGGTGAGCTAAAAATCGTACGTTTTTTGTAAACAGCATCATGAATGAAATTGATTATTATGTAAAAAAAACTGAGTCAAATGCATAATTGTGATGCTTAAAATTCCCAATACTTGCTACTTATAAAATACTTTTGAATTGTGAATATAAGTGAAACTAGCTATTTTTCAGTAGAAGTACAATAAACAAAATGTCTGAAAGAAGCCACATGAGTAGGCGTTATTGCCCTTGTCAACATTTTGTAAAAGATTGAATAATTGATTAAATAAAGGAAATATGTATTTTTGAAAATCATTTTTCCAAATTGTTTTATTCTGTAGGGTATAAATTTACTTTATTTT